TATGATGATAAGGATGTAAAGAAATAGCTCTCCCAGACATTGCTAGTGTAGGTGTAAACTGATAAACCTCCTGGGAAGGCATTGCAATTGATGATGTCTATCAATATGATAAATGTTTATAACTTGGTTTAACAGCTGGGTGCAGTGGCAAACCCCTGTAATCTCAGTGATTTGGGAGACTGAAGCAGGATTGCAAGTTCAAAGCCAGCCTCAGAAATTTAGCAAGATCCTAGGTAAGGAAGCAAGACCCTGTCTCAAAAAATGAAAAGGGTTGGGGGTGTGGCTCAGTGATTAAGCACCCCTGGGTTCAATCCCCATTGCAATAAATAAATAAATAACTTGATCCAGCAATTTCAATCCTAGGAACTTGTCTACAAATATAAGGGCACACATGCTAAATATGTTTAAAGTTATCCATTATATCATTTTTCTAACAGCTAAAGATAGGAAAGTATCTCAAGGTTTATCAGAGACTGGTTAAATAGTATGGTACATTTCATATAACAGAATATATAAAAGAAAAAAGATAAAAAAAGGATATTCTATATGTACTTATATAAAAATATCTTCAAGTATAATGTTAATGACAAAGGTGAGTCACAGATTATTATATATACCATGTTTCTATTTGGATCTGGTAATGAAATAATATACAGTATTTCATAGACCAAAAAGATTTAAAAAAAAAAAAAAAACTAATGAAGAATGATTGCCTTCCAAAGAGAATTGAAGGATCTAGAACAAAGGAAAAGGGGACATTTACTTTATACTCTAACCCTTTTGTACATCTATAGGAATTACCTATGTTTAAAAAACTCCATTGCTCTGTAATCTTAGAATCAAACCTCTATGTTGATGTCAGTTTTAAACTCAAATTGCGTTTTTTTTTTTTTTTTAAGAGAGAGTGAGAGAGGAGAGAGAGAGAGAATTTTTAATATTTATTTCTTAGTTCTTGGCGGACACAACATCTTTGTTGGTATGCGGTGCTGAGGATCGAACCTGGGCCGCACGCATGCCAGGCGAGCGCGCTACCGCTTGAGCCACATCCCCAGCCCTCAAATTGCGTTTTTGGTGACATAAACACACTGAAGAGACATTCAATTAAAAAAAAAAAAAGTCCTTATAATGAAGTTTTTGAATATGTGAACAGAATGTTCAAATTCGTTGAGTAATAGCTTTGAATTCTCTTTATTGGTGCTCTAGACCTATTGTTTTTCTCTTGCAATAGATTGTTGTTTTCCTCCTAAAATTCACATTGAAATCCTAACCCCCAATGTGATGGTATCAGGAGGTAGGCCTTGGGTAGGTAATTAGGTCCTGCCCTCATGAATGGGATTAGTGCCCTTATAAAAAGGACTATAGAGATTACCCTGCCTCTTTGGCCAAGTAAGGGTATATAGAGAAAACAGCCTACAAAACAGTCGGCCCTCATGAAACACAGGATCTGCCCTTGCCTTGATCTTGAATTTCCTAGCCTTCAGAACAGAAAAACAAATTTTTATTGTTTATAAGCTACTTAGTCTATGATATTTTGATATAGCAGCACAAACAGACTAAAACAATCGATCTTATCCCTTGCTAAAGTTTAGGGAATATAGCATCTGAAATGGTGGAAGGCAGGCCTTTCAGCACTAACTACTTCCCTCTATCACTGCTGCTGCTCTGAGGGGACATAGAATAGGGATTTCTTTTTTTTATTTTTCAGTTTTCAGTGGACACAACATCTTTATTTTTATGTGGTGCTGAGGATCGAACCCAGAGCCCTGTGCATGCCAGGTGATCGTGATACCGCTTGCGCCACATCCCCAGCCCCTAGAATAGGGATTTCATCCAAAGAATTTTTTTTTTTTTCTTTTTGTGGTGCTGGGGATTGAACCCAGGGCCTTGACATGTTAGGAAAGCACTCTACCAACTGAGGTACATCCCCAGCCCTCATCCAAAGAATTCTAACCTCTGGATTGGTGGTGGATCTAGATGGCTCTTCTAAGCATGTAAACTTGTGCAATGCGCTCAAGCAGAAGAGTGGCTTTAAGGAGGAGGAAATATGCCTCTAGAAAGGAAGATCAGCAAAGATAAGAATTTTTTCAAATATTGAGGGATATTAGGGGGGTACTAGTCACGTGGTCTATAATGTGTTAATCAGGGGAGGTTGGCAGAGTTATGGGCATAAGATTGTAAGCTTTAGGAAAGTAGAAAAAGGTCTGGAATACTTGACATAAGGATTTGGAAAGAGCCATTCAAAGACAATGGGCTTGCTCACCTGAGATTAGTTACCAATTATCGTTCAAACTGCTGTGATTTTGTTATCTTAGAAATTGAATGTTTGAATTAATTAATTGAAGGTTTGCAGAAGGTACAAAGAATTTTATTTTATTTATTGTTTTGGTACCATGGTTTGAACCCAGGGACACTTAATCACTGAGTCACATCCCCAGGTCTTTTTATGTTTTATTTTGAGACAGGCTCCAAGTTGCTTAGGGCCTCTCTAAATTGCTGAGACTGGCTTTGAACTTCAGTCCTCCTGCTTCAGCCTCCCAAGCCACCAGGATTAGATTTGATTTGACTTGATTGATTAATGATAGTGCTGATCTGACCCAAGGTCTCAGGGCTTCAGGCAAGCTAGGCAAGTGCTCTACCACTGAGCTACCATCCCAGGATTTTATTTTTTAAGCATAATTAGTTAGCTTTCCAGTAAAAATGATCAGTCCACAAATATAAATCATAAGCCCAATAGTGTCTTAAGAATCGTTTTCCCTGAAAAGTGTTAAACCATTGGTATTAAACCATTAGTCTTGAGGGGCATGGCCTTAGAATACTAGTCACAGCTCCCAATCTGTGAAACTGATGAAGATCCTTTATCAAGACTAACAGTTGAGGGGGAAAAAATCTGGATTTACTTTCCACTTTCCATTAAGGAGTAGTAGGATTTCTGCCTCCCTTTTGACTCTATACTTGCTCCTCCTTTTTGTTATCTTGTTAGATTTTACATATCTTAGAAGCCAATTTAAATAGCCTTTTGTAACGAGATAGAACATATAAATTATTGAACATAAAAAAATTTAGGTATTTCAAAAGCTCCTAAATATCTATCTATATTTATTTTTATATTTTAGGTATTTAGGGGGGCTGGAGCTGTGGCTCAGTGGTAGAGTGCTTGCCTAGCACTTTGTTTTCATTTTGAGGCAGGGGTTTACTAAGTTTTCCTGGCTGGCCTTGAACTTGGAATCCAACCTTCCTGCCTCAGTCTTCAGAGTCACTGGGATTTTAGGCCATGTGCCACAGTACCCAGCTTTTTCTGAGATACTCTGTTTTGTTTTTTTCAGGCGGTACTTTGTGCTGAACCCAGTGGGTTCTGCCACCAATCTACATCCTCAGTCCTTTTTTATTTTGAGAGCATCACACTAAATTACCCAGATTGGCTTGGAACCCGAAATCTTCCTTCTCGGCTTCCTGAGTAGCTGGGATTACAGAATACAACTGCACCATGTCTGCAATTATGAGGCAAATCCCCAAACAGCTTATTTTATCTTATTTTTATGGTGCTGGGGATCAAACACAGGGATTTCAGCATGTTGGGAAAGTACTCTATCACTGAGCAAAATCCCCACCCCTCCAACCCTTTTTCTTTTTTTTTTTTTAGAGAGAGAGGAGAAGAGAGAGAGAGAGAGAGAGAGAGAGAGAGAGAGAGAGAGAGAGAGAGAGAGAGAGAGAATGAATTATTTTTTAATATTTATTTTTTAGTTTTCGGCGGACACAACATCTTTGTTTGTATGTGGTGCTGAGGATCGACGCCTGGCGGCATGCATGCCAGGAGAGAGTGCTACCGCTTGAGCCACATCCCCAGCCCCAACCCTTTTTCTTTTACAAGTTTCCACTTACAAATTCTGAAGAGGGCTGGGGTTGTATCTTAGTGATAGAATAAGCAAATGAATAAAATAAAGGTCCATCAAAAAAAAAAAAAAAACCTCTCAAATAAATAAAGGTATTGAGTCCATCCACAACTAAAATGATTTTTTTTTTTTAAACAAGACTGAGGGCTGAGGTTGTGGCTCAATGGGGAAGCACTTGCCTGGCACATGTGAGACACTGGGTTTGATTCTCAGCACCACAAAAATAAACAAAATAAAGATATTGTATCCATCTCTAAGTAAAAAATAAAAATATATTTAAAAAAAGAAAGATTGATTTGATATGGTAAGAAATTTTTAAAAATTGCTGAAGAGATGGACCTCTGTAACCCTAGCTAATTGGGAGGCTCAGGAAAGAGGATGGCAAATTTGAGGCCAGCCTGAGCAATTTAAGACTCTCAAAATGAAAAGTAAAAAAGGGATAGGAATTAAGTCAGTGGTAAAGCACACCTGAGTTCAATCCATAGTAATGGGGGGGGAAATAAAGATTTTTGAGGACTTAATAACCTAATATGAATAAGGGGCTTAAATTAGTGTCTCGATGTTATAAACACACAAAAGATTTGTAGCCAAGCCAAGCAAGATCGCACATGCCTGTAATCCAGTGACCCAGGAAGCTGAGGCAGAAGGATTCCAAGTTGAAGGCCAGTCTCAGCAACTTAGTGAGACCTGTCTCAAAATTAAGATTAAAAAGAATTGGGTACAGAGCTCAGTGGATTCAATCTCCAGTTAACTTCCCGCCCCACAAAAATAAACAAATAAATAAATAGTAATTATTTTGGTTTTACAATTGGGAAGATTCATTAGCTTTTGGCGGTCCACCAAAATTTTGGACCCAACAGTGGATTCCAGAAATCCAAGCTGATATGTAGCTGACAGTCAAGGAGTCCTTTGATTGCCCTGCTGAAATACATAAAGTCAAACCTTCAATGCAAAAAACCTGTTAGGTTTGCACAGGTTCGACATCATATTTCCATATGAATTGGCTGCCACTAGAGCGCTACCTACCAACTTCCCTTATAAAATATTTATTGAAGGTCTACTTTATTATGCAATGATCAGTTTTAAGTACCACAAATCATTCAAAATCAACACAATCACACTCTTTTCCGTTTATTGCTTCAAATTATCAAAGAAAAGCTTAAAGACATTACCGAAATAGCAAAAATGTTGTTAGATCTATCACGAATTTAATGGAAATCACAAACAGAAGCTTATCACAATCTCAGGCCTTAAAATACTGAAAACATATGCAATGTAACAACAATAATAAACGGACTTTGGGGTCCCTTTGCTGGAGTTATTCCCACATGGAAAGTATTCGGTAGGAGTGAAGGACTGCTCAGTCCCATTGGATCTTTCTCTCCTCTTCAGGAAGAATACTCCAGTTTGGGGAGGCCATATCCCGGGCCAGCCAATTGAAATCGTCAACGTTGGTCCAGTTGTTTTTGCTCCTATCTAAACCAGAGCCCTGGAAGTCCTTTTCGATCCCCGGGTAACTCCAGGTATAAGGAGCGAACTGGATGCCGCTGCAATCCTCCACTATGGCCCTGCTGGTCACCTGTAAGAAGATGCGGGTGTTTGTGGTACTGTGTAAACGGAGCTGTTGGCAGGCTACGGCCAGTATGCAGTCACTGCAGTCTTCCAAGAACACAGAGGTGGACACCGGGCCACAGAGCACCTTGCAGCTGCGGGCCTTGGTCAGCCGCAAGGTGTTAGGATTACCATACAGTTTGATAGTGCAGTTGCTCAGTTCCGTCAAAAGGATGTCGCGCTGGTGCACCTCGTCGGCTCGCTTCTCCAGGACTTGGAACTCCAGGTTGGTGAAGCCACAGGCCCAGCTGAAACCAAGTGCTTCCTCGTCCTTCAAGGGTAGCGACGGGGACATGATGCCTTCAGCTGCCGGAGCGACGGGAGCCGTGTCTACTTTGGAGGCCAAAGCAGCATCCTTCCTTCGGGTCTTGAAAGCGAACCGCTTCTTGGGCTGCAGCTCCTGGCGCCGTTCGGCCAGGGCAGCCTGGAGATGCGTCAGCGCCTCTTGTCCCTGCCTCAAGTCGTAGGGGGCTAGGAACAAAACTGAGTCGTTGAGAAGTTTCTGCAGCCCTTGGAGCCGAGACGTCGCCTCCTCTAGCCGCTCGACTGATTCCTCGCCCTCCAGAAGCTCTTCCACGGCCGCTCGTTCCCGAGAGAAGGCGGCGGCGAAAAAGTCGCTCTTCTCTTCTTCCACCTCCTGGTTCTGCCGCTTTTGCTTCCGCTTTTCCACCTCCAGTTGCCTCTCTTGCTCGCGTCTCTGAAGCCGCTCAGGAACCAGGCTCAGATCCCGCTGGGACCCCATGTCCCGGTTTCCCACAGCGGCTGCGGAACAACCAGCACTCTCCATTTTGATTTTAAGCTCCCTCTCTCCCGCTTTCCATCCTTGGGGCGCGCCCTCCGTGAGGCCTCCCACCAACGCGCCCTGTGATTGGCCGGGGACACTTACGTCAGCTCCCCAGCCTTATTTTCTTTGCCTATTGGCTCCTCGGCGTTGGAGGGGCAGGGAGGAGAGGCGGGGACGGCTGACAGTGGGGGTGGGGAGACAAAGGTCCTTGTGGATGGGTGGGGTGGGAGACAGGCGGGGGAAGCTTTTTTTCCTCTTAAAGGGGCAGGACTTATATCCGGGATTGTGGGGTGAGTTGCAGCAGCGGTAGCTGCACATGTGGGTTTGTTTATAAGAACAAGGTTAGAAACTCGCAGGCCTCCCCCTCCCCCCCAGCTTCTTCCTACTACCCCCTTACAGGCCGGAGATCCGTTACTGGGTGGTGGGAGGAATGTGTGCTTGTGGTAGGTGGGGGGACAGGTAGTGGTGAGAAAGATGGAGGGGGGGGGATATTGCACCTCCCGGCCCGCGCCGGAGGAAGCAGCAGCTGGAACAGCTGGCTAGGGAGCCGCTTGCATGCCTCTGGTTTTTTTTCTCTTCCCTTCTGCTACCCCTTCCCCCAACCTATTCCTGCCGCCCCATAACCTTATCCTTCCCGCCCTCCCCCATCTACTGCAGTTCGGCGCGGCCTGGGGGCTCCTGGGTCCCCACAGGCTGTTACTGGGGCGGGAGAAGGCTAGGGGCACGGCGATGGGAGAGACTGGGTTCCTCGCTGCAACCGTTTTTGGGGGACCTGGGGGAATCTAAAAACATTACTATTTTTTTGGCCAATTGCTGCAGTCGGGGGAGTGGGGGCAGGGGAGGGTGAAATTCTACATCCCCATCCCCTTCCTCCCCCCGTCCCCCCCGCCGCTCGGTCCCGGCCACTCCCTTCGCAACTGAGCGCCACTGGCCGCGCTGGGCTGAGACCCCAGCCCCGGACTCCGCGCCTCTCTGTAGGGCCGTTCGTCTTTAGGAAAGCGATGGGGAAAACGGTACATTATTTCTAGAGATGGTGGGAGGGATTTGTCACCGGAAGTGAGCGAGCCTAACCTAAAGTCGGGACCAACCCGAGGTGTGAGTGGGCAGCCAAGACCGCGCATTCACTGGCAAAAACCCCGGCAGCCGGCCGGCAAGAACCCCCGACGCAGCCGGCTGCCGGGCGCCGCAGCCTCGCGTGCAGAGTTCAGCCCCGCCGAGCTCCGGGGCCTTCTTGACCCGCCCGCCCTTCCAATCCTCGGCTTTACCCTGTCTTCTCCCGTTCCCAGCCTCCACCGTTTTTAATTGGGTATTAAAAGGCCCCAGAAACTGTCACTTGAAATTTCCCCGATATGCCTGCTTTTTGATGCAGAGAAAGATGGGAGGAAAGAGAGCTATTGAATTAAATTGGAATTAAGACCGATTTCCAATTTTCACGTCCCACTCGCCTCCTTTCCTAACCACTTAAAAAAAAATTCAAGAACAAAACACATAAATTCCTGGGTTGAAGAGAGTATTCCTCCGCTGCGTCAGCACAGGTCACACCATGTGGCAAAGTCCCGCGCGGGGGCGCTGGGGACACGGAGGGGTGTAGTTGTGTGTTGTGCATGCACCCAATGGAATCCGTGGTGCCGAAAAACAACGGTGCGTAGGTTTGCAATATATGTTGTTTTCATTAGTTTTGTTTTACAGGCAGTATATATTAAGCTTTTGCTTTTGCTTTTTTCGAAAAAAAACATTTTTACTTCACAGAAGTATGAGTCCGAGGTTGGTGAATGAAATATAACAGATACTGTTGTCCAGATCATACGGAGGAATGCAATAGCTGCTTTCTTTTATGAAAAGAAGATTTAACTAAACAAGGTTTAGAAAAGACTTGTTTTGCTAGGAAAAACAAAAATAACAAAAGTCCGACTCGCTTCCTTTAAGTTTTTCAGTAATTGAACTTGTCCCACTCAAATTAAGAAAGTTTGTAGCCAAAGGAGGTTCATTGGACTTGGAGTTTGCAAATGGAGTGAAGTTTCTGTGTGTTAGTGAATCTCTTGGTAGTTGTAAGTGTCTGCTATATCTAGAATAAATCGAATGTCATAAACCCTTTCAGGAACTTCATTTCTGTCCATCAACAGGTTTTTGCATGGAGTTCAGTAGGCTTTAGAAGTTTCTGAATATTTTAAGTTGGCTAGTTTTAACTTTTAAGAGAAAGAAGCAGAAAAGGACAAACATTGACGGGTCCCTTGGTTGACTCTCTGTGTTGGGAACAGTTTGAAAGACTATTGTGAAGCCTTAGTGTCGCTCCATAGGTTGTCCTGAGTATTGGCTTGACAGTTTTTCACATCCCCCAGCACAGCTGCAGGCTGGAGTAGGAGGTCAAGACATGGATATACAGCTATATTTCTGTGTTCAAAAGCAGTAGGAAGGCTGCAAAACTGCTGGTGTTGCCAGATTGTATTTGTGTTCTCATTCTGACTTGAGGGCAGTGGATCCAGCATGCATCCTGAAGTGGATGCTCATCAAAGGTAAGGTAAGTGCCTACTCTGATGGAAGTAAAGAGAGAAATGCATTACAGCAGAAGCGTGGCAAAAGTCAAGCAGCTGTATGCGTTCAGTATCCTACTTTTCAATGAAAGGGCTTGTGAGTCAAAGTGCTGCTCTCTTGTAGATATCTTGAAAATGAAAGAATACTAAGATTCTGTGGACTTTTAACATTTATTTGGTAATAATTGAGATATTTATGGTTCTATTTGTTAGATTCACTTTTTAACTTTTGAAAAATTCCAACATACATAAAATAGAGAGGGTACTGCAAGAACTCCTATACCATCACCCACCTCAACAATGATCAGCTGACAGTCTTTCTCTAAAACTTTGGTCACTTCTCCAACCCACCCTACCTTGATTATTATTTTTTTTGGGGGGCGGGCCAGGGATTGAATTTGGGGGTACTCAACCACTGAGCCATATCCCCAGCCCTATTTTGTATTTTATTTAGAGACAGGGTCTCATCGAATTACTTAGCACCTCACTTTTGCTGAGGCTGGCTTTGAACTTGTGATCTTCCTGTCTCAGCCTCCTTAGCTGCTGGAGATTACAGGCATGTGCCACCACACCCAGCCATACCTTGATTATTTTACAGCAGATCCTAGAGATTATTTCATATTTTGTAATCTATAAATATTTCAGTCTGTATCTCTAGAAGATTAGGACTGCCTTTTTGAAACAATCACATTGTCATCACCACATCTCAAAAAAGCATTTAAAAAAGTCCTTAATATCAGATTTCCAGTCTATTTTCACATCTGTTATCATGTAATTTCCTTTATTCGAAGTTATTTTGTTTGATTAAGGATCCAAACAGTTGCCATAGAGTTTGTCTAGTTATTATGTTCCTTAAATCTCTTCTATTGTGTGGGTTCCTTCCCTCTCTCAATTGGTTTGTTCAACAAATATGATCTTTTGTTCAGTAGTTTCTCAGAGTCTAGAAGTTGATGGTTACATTCTCATGTGGTATTTGTTAGATTTGAAATACCTGTTGTATGCATTTGATTTTTTAAAATCTTATGTTTGTAGTTATATGCCTAAAGAAATAAATTAGCAAGAAATGAGAAAGCATTTAGACGAAGTAAAACAATTGTTAGGTATGACTGGACAGCATAGGAATAAGGCACCTCCGTGTCCTGTGGAGGCCATATGCAGGCGGAAGATGCTAGTCACATCTAGGCAAAAAAAGATAGACATGCGTCCTGTTTTTTGGTAGTTTGATGCTGGAAAATGTTCTCAACTATTCATCTTTCAGCAAGCACTGAATATTTATGGGATGTAAAGCATTCATTAAAGAGCTCAATTCAAGGGGGTGGGGTTGTAGCTCAGGGGTAGAATGCTTGCCTAGCATGTGAGAGGCACTGGGTTCAATTCTTAGCACCACATATAAATAAATATTTTTTTAAAAGCTCAATTCAAATATCAAATATTAGAAAAATCTTCCTACTTTAATTGCTGAATTTTCTGGCACATAGAGGACAGATGTGAAGGTATGTCCAAATTCATCTTGGAAGAAGGACAGGTATTTTCTCCTGCTTTTGCCCCTGGTTCTCTTCTGCCCTCTCAACATACTTTACCTTCTGGAACCTGTTTAAAAATTAATTAATTTATTTATTTTAATTAGTTATAATATGACAGCAGAAGGTCATATTATAACTAATTGATTTATTGTACACAATTGCAGCACAATTTTTCTCTGGTTGTACATGATGTAGCATGTACACCATATATGCAGTCATACATGTACCTAGGGTAATGATGCCCATCTCATGCCATTCTCTCCTGCTCCTATATCCCTTTCCCTCCCTGCCTTCCCATTTGCCTAATCAAAGTTTCTCTGTTCCCCCCACACACGCTTATAGATTAGCATCCACTTATCAGAGAGAACATTCCGCCTTTGTTTTTTTGGGATTGGCTTACTTTGCATAGCATGATGTTCTCCAATTCCATCCATTTACCTGCAAATGCCATAATTTTATTCTCTTAATTCTGAGTAGTATTCCATTGTGTATATATACCACAGTTTCGTTTCTTTTTCTTTTTTTTTTTTTTTGTCGGGGGGTGGTAACAGGAATTGAGTTCAGGGGCACTCAGCCACTGAGCCATATCTCCAGCCCTTTTTTATATTTTATTTAGAGACAGGGTCTCACTGTGTTGCTTAGGACCTTGCTGAGTTGCTGAAGCTGGCTGGAACTCAAGATCCTCCTGTCTCAGCCTCCCTAGCTGCTGGGATTATAGGCGTGTGCCACCACGCCATGATAGTTCAGTTTCTTTATCCATTCATTTATTGAAGGACATCTAGGTTCAGTCCACAGTTCAGCTATTGTGAATTGAACTGCTATAATCAATGATGTGGCTGCATCACTATAATATACTGATAATATAATATGTCCTTTAGGTATAGACTGAAGAGTGGGATAGCTGGGTCAAATGGTGGTTCTTTTTTTTTTTTTTTTTTTTTTTAAAGATAGAGTGAGAGAGGGAGAGGGAGAGAGAGAATTTTTTTAATATTTATTTTTTATTTATCGGTGGACACA